GTTTTATTGATTTTTTTAGAGATATGTGTGACTAACACATATTAGGTGATCAGAGAGAAAGGAAGGGAGGATAGATAGAAACATCAATGAGAGAACATCATTCGGCTGCCCCATGCACATCCCGTACTGGGGATTGAGCCCAAAACCCGGCATGTACCCTCACTGGGAACCAAACCAATAACCTCTTGGTTTATGGGTCAATGCTCAACCACTGACCCACAGCAGGCTCATTTTTTAATTTTAATTTTATACAATGTGTAGAGAGTTCCCTGTTCTTTCCATTTAGAAGTATACGCAATATAAATATTTAATTTTGTAAGTAATTTTTATAATTATGATGTAACTCTATCCTATCCTTAAAACATTTAATATAAACCCTTTATGTGAAAAAAGAGAAGAAAGAAAGAAAGAAAAGAATAGTGTTGGCCACTAAAATCAGACTTTGATAAGCAGACTTTGGATAACCTTTGTATTTCTCAAAAGTATAGTCAGGTTTGATGGATTTATCCTTTGGTCCTACTTGAAATGATTTCTGGTACCATGAAAAGAAATGGACTTTAGAACCAGAGACTGATTTGAGTTTAAATCCTAGCTCCATCACTTACTAGTTCTAAGTTGCTTAACCTCTCCATCTTTTCATCTATAAAATAGAGATAGTGACCCACCTCATGGTGAGCTGAAAAATTAAATGAGGAAACATGTTTAAGTGACTAGCACAGTACCTGGCACATGGTGAACATGTAATAATGTTAGTTTTCCTCTTATTTTACTGATGTAGAAGATAAAATGCTGGACTAGACAATAGCTCATATTTTATGTTCTTTCTAAACATACCTTTTCAGTTTTTGCATAGCACAAGGCAAAGCAGAAGTTCTCAAGTCTGGATATTGTATACTTTCAACAAGTTTTTACTTAACATCTATTAGGTGCTAAAAACTGTACAAGAGAGTACATAGTAATATAGCTAAGTAATATAGTAAGTGCTTATCCCCCAAGGAGCTCATAGTCTAATGGAAAAGACTGATGACTAAAGCATTAATGACAGAGTACAATGGGATCAAAAGAGGAATGGTATCTAAACATACTCTGGGCAGCCAGGAGGGAACGTTCAGAAGAACTGACCCTTGAGCTGAGCATGGACTTCCAGGCAGAAGGAAGGATGTTGACAGTATTTACAAAGGCACAGAGGCAAAAGAAAGCATGCTCTGTTCTAGAAACTGCAAATAATTTTAAATTAATGGAGAGAAGGATGTGTTTGGAGGTGTAGCAGGGTGAAGATGGAGAGAGAGGTAGGAGTCATATTTTAAAGTATTTTCTGTCTTACTAAAGGGTCTGGACTTTAACCAGAAGGCAATGAAGAACCACTGAAGGGTTTTAAACTGCAAAATGGAATTTTCAATGTTTCTTTTTTAGAAATAACATTTTAGCAGAAGAATAGAGGGTGTATTTAAGGAAGGTTTGAGATAAGAAAGAAGGTAAGAAGAAAAACTGTTTAATGCATGAGTAGTAAGCCAGGTGAGGCATTATAAGAGCCTGAATGAAGATAGTAAGTGTGGGGATCGAAACAAGCAGGTAGGTAAGCGAGACGTTAAAGTGGAATAGAATGACTTGCTGACGTAATCTATGGGAGGTGGTGATGAGTGTAAGAAAGGCATTGAAGATGGTTCTCAGGGATCTAGCATGGAGGACTGGATGAATGATGGCGCTGTCTACCAGCGTAATAGAAATGATGGAGGAGGTTGGGGTGACAGGTCCAGACGGCAGCAGAGATGAGTTTAATTTGGGGCATATTGCATTCCATATGCCTGGGAGGATGTCCAGTAAGTCGTTGGCTGTGTTGTCCAAGAGATCTGGACAACAGAGCCAACTGGAGAGGTGGATTTGACTTATGTGAGAATGCTGTAAGTGGCAATTTAGCTCAACTGTTATCAGTTTTCCTTTCCTTCCAATGACTAACACATATTAGGTGATCAGTAAATATTTGTTGAATTGATATTACTGTGGCTACAGCTTTTACCCTTGGTCTCCTCTGTCTATACTTTGAAAAAAATGATTGATCTAATTTTACTCAGCAGTAGGCAACTTTGGGCCAGGTGGTGCTGGCCTACACAATGTTTAATTCATAAATGGCTTCTTGATGACAGACCACCACTTATCACTTGAGTAGACTGGTATAAAATTGTCTCTTACTTAATTGATTATCTTAGGTATTTTCCTGGTTATTAATTAGCCTTCTCAGTTGTAAATGTATATTTATGGAAAAGCCATAAAGTTCCTTTCCATGTGAATAGGTTTGGATGTGCCATTCACAGAGCTAGCATGTAGCAATTTGAGAAAGCCTATTTGTTTATTATCAGCTAATCTATTTCTTTTTTAAAAAAATATATTTTATTGATTTTTCACAGAGAGGGAGAGGGATAGAGAGTTGGAAGCATCGATGAGAGAGAAACATCAATCAGCTGCCTCCTGCACACCCTCTACTGGGGATGTGCCCACAACCAAGGTACATGCCCTTAGCCGGAATCGAACCTGGGACCTTTCAGTCCGCAGGCCGACGCTCCATCCACTGAGCCAAACCGGTTAGGGCTAATCTATTTCTTGATTTCTCTATATCAGCTTGTGTAACCCAAAAGAAATGGTAGGATAAGTGCCTTAGAAAGTACAATCTATAATAATAAAAGCGTAATATGCTAAGTAGACCAGACGTCCTTCCAGACAAAGCAGGCGGGGGCCAAGGCAGAGGTGGCAGAGACCCCTGGCCATGGCGGTGGTGGGCAGGGGCTGGGGCCTAGGCCCTTGCACGAATTTCTTGCATCAGACCTCTAGTCTATAGATATAAAAGCCTAAGCGACCAGCCAACTGGCTGGTCATCAGTGCGTAGCTATGATGCGCACTGACCACCAGGGGGGCAGACTCTCAATGCAGGAGCAGAAACCACAGGCATGGAAACATGGAACAGACTAATGAATCTCAGAGGGAAGGGGGCAGGGGAGAGGGCGGGAAGAGATTAACCAAAGATCTTATATGCATACTAGAGGCCCGGTGCTTGGATTTGTGCATTGATGGGGTCCCTCAGCACCGGTCCTCTAGTATGTTTATAATATTACAAGTTCATTCTAGTGTAAGTGCTCAGATAATGTTGATTGAATTAAGTGAATCTATATGATACTTTAGAGTTTACAAAGTGCTTTCATTTAGATTATTGTATTTGATCCTCAGAACCCTATAAGTCAAATTGAGAATTATCCTCGTTTTGGGTATGATGAAATCATATACCTTAGCAAGATATTTTTTTTTTATTTTCTCTTTTAAAATGTATTTTTCAATTACAGTTGACATACAATATTATATTAGTTCCAGGTGTACAACATAGTGATCAGACATTTTGGGTATGATGAAATCATACACCTTAGCAAGATATTTTATATATCTCTGTTATATCTGCCGACAGAGACAGTTTGCATGGTCATTTCTCAATTGAGTTTTTCAATGTTCTTTGTCAATTTATAATAGTCAGCGAAAGCCCTGCCTAATCGAAATTGTGATGCTCCTGTTTCAAGATGGCTTAGAAGAGCCCTGGCTGGTTTGGCTCAGTGGATAGAGCATCAGCCTGTGGACTGAAGGGTCCCGGGTTCAATTCCGGTCAAGGGCACATGCCCAGGTTGTGGGCTCAATCCTCATTAGGGGGCATGCAGGAGGCAGCCGATCATGTTCCTCTCTCATCATTGATGTTTCTATCTTTTTCTCCCTCTCCCTCTCTGAAATCAATAATAATAATAAAAAAGATGGCTTAGAAGAAAAGTGGCCTCAAGTTCTTGGTACACTGCCTCTTTTCTTGCCTTAACAGAGTGCTGGTTTATGTTCATCACAATATCACAATGTAGGCTGGTTTACAAGTAAAGGAGCAGCAGTGATGTGGGTACTAAAATGTGTAAGCTGGTCCAAGCAAATGTCATTTAGTTCAGAAACACCTTCTTAAGAGAGCCTGTCTGGGATCCAGTTCCTATGTGGTATGTAATATGGTAAATTGCCCTTACTAGATTTTCAGGCCCAAGTGGCATATTTACAGCTTTCTGGTGAGTATTTGAATATGTTACTTCCCATGACATTTGGCTTCTATTAGATTGTTCGTTCGTTTTTCAGATGACTTGTTCTTTTCTTACTAGTGTGGACTCCTTCTCTTCCACCTTCAGCGCCTTTCTTTAAACTTTAGGAATAGGTCTACTGTGGCATTTCTTCTCATCCACATTCTCTTGAAAGTACTTATTTTAGATCTGTTTTCCCGTGATGTGAGGCGTTTAGCCTCAGAGGGAACTCTGTGTTTCCAGGATTCATTTCCCTTAGGGGTTGCAGATGTTAGTCATTCATCTGTGAAGAAATGACCTCAGCTGCTGGGTCACTTTTATTTTGTTTACAAAGAAATGTTTCACTACTTTGGATATTACATTGAATTCATGGCAATAATTGGATTAAGCCTGTGCCAGATGAACTCAACTTTTATATCACTGCCAACGAAAGTCTAGATTTCAGCTTCTGCATTAGATGCTAGTATGATGATACATATAGCTTGGAGATATGAAACGTTTTTCAACTTGATCAGGCTCCTCAAGAATATGGTTTGATTGACTCTTAAGTTGCATTGTTCCTGTGTCTAGTAATGAGTTGGGTATTTGGGAATGGCAAAGTAACTCCTTTAAGTATGAGAGTATGTTATACAGGAAAGACCAAAATAATACAAAGTGCTTGGTACAGGGCAAGGGACATCGAAATTACTTCTCAGATTAACAGAGTTTTAGAAACATGACCCAAATAAGTCTGGAACTGCTTAAGCTGCTTAATTCTTCCTTTGACTACCTCATAAGCTAAGATTATTAGTTTATATTAGTATTAATATTAATATTTTTGAGGCCTCTTAAAAATCATTGTTGATTCTCAGAGTTTATTATATTCCCCATTTATTCCTAATCTTCTTGCTTTTGTATGTGTTCATTCATTTGTAGAATATAAATGGCATTCGCACAGAGGAGGCGGCTGCCGTGACAAAGGGGCCATCTACCAACCCTGACTCTGAATGGGAGGGCCCCGAGCATTCAGTAATTCCTAGTAAGAGCCAAATGACTACCCCCACGGAGTCTCCACAAAGCTTTGACTTTGGCTCCCTCTCCATAAGCAGCAAGGAAACAGAAGAGAAGGAGCAGGGGGCTGCTGGCCATCTTGATATTAAGGAAATGCCAGGAGGCCCAAGTGGGGAATGTATAGGAGTGGAGGAACAGGCCAGTGCCTTAAAGTTCTCAGTATCACCAGCTTCCTCTCAGCTGCAACTTGGTGAAAAAAAGGCAGAGAGTAGTGAAGAACATGTTACACCAGGAGAGCCACTTGGAAAGCAAAATGGATCATTTCCTGACTCTTGTGTGGGTAACCAGTTCCCCACCCTCATTCGAAGTTTCCAGGTAGAAACTGATTTAATGATGCAGGTCTAATGACTCGCTTTGGGAGAGGGCCAGAATCTGTTCTGTAGAGGAGGTGGAGGTGGAGGTGGTGGTGGTGGTGGTGATGGTGATGGTAATGAGGGTAGTAGTCTGTCTGCTTTTCTCAAAATCACAGAATAAAATTGAAGCCCTTGATGACTATAAAGAAATTTAGTCAGAGGAATTAACTCCATGAAATGCTTTCTCCCTTGATGATTTAACAAGACTTTTGAGGGTGAACTCCATCTGTTTGCCTTTATGAAGCTGGTGTGTGTTTCTCTTTTCCTTGCTCAAGTGTGGGCAATGTAAAGAGATGAATTTCTGAGACTTATATGATGAGGAGCCTACAGTGTTCTGATACCATGCTCAAAAAACTCAAATACTCCTAATTAGAAGGGGTAACTGATTTTATGAGATTTCAGGCTCCCAAAATTTATTTCTGTATTGCAGTCACACTGTACAGCTCACCACTCCCACTGACCCCACTCACAGGGGCTTCCATGATCATAGGCGCTAATCTTCTATGCTAAGGTGGGTGGCCACATAACTGTATCACAGTCAAATGGTAGTTGTAGGGTGATTTATAGTCTTGGGGAAGGTGAACTGATGGACAAGAAGCCTTTGATATTCCACTGATGTTCATTCTTCTGAAATTCTGAGATTAATCACCAGGTGGTGGTAAAAGTGATTATTTTCTTTCCAATTTTCCAAATATTGTTTCTTCTCAATTACTCCAAAGTGAATGTCTGACATTGATTTGAAAGAAGCTAATGAATTTCAGGGTAATGCATTTCAATGCCACTGCTGTTTCATGTACCACTTGAACTTAGTGGAGGAAATGTGGCTGGTTTTTTTAATGGTATGGTCACAAGGACAACAAAAGTGACTGCTATTTGGCAAATAGTTTTATTTTCAAAATTCTGAAGGTCAGTCTGAAAGTATTTTTCTACCACCAGCCATAATTGTCTGAAGCTTAAAACTTTCCATTAAGCATATGAAAGTGATTGCAGTAATGCTGTTCTTTAATATCCCTCATGATTTGACACCTTGTCAGCGCTACTTTGGAGTAGTGTCCAAGTCTTGGGCAGAGATTGAGCTAGGCTTTTGCTTGATTAGAGCTGTCACTTTGATCAGATCAGTGTCAGAAGATTAATTCTCCACAGCCTTCAGAAGATTCTGGTAACTGTGTCTTTACTGCTTCACAGCCTCCTCTGGTGAAGACTCAGACCGTCACCATCTCAGACACGGCCAATGCCGTGAAAAGTGAGATCCCAACCAAAGACGTCCCTATTGTCCACACTGAGACCAAGACCATCACCTACGAGGCTGCTCAGGTAGGACACGGTTTAACGTCTCAGGGTCAAAGGCTGGAGTAAACACAGTAAATGACCTTTGTTCACATGGTTTCTAATTATTTACTCCAATTAACACTAGGCTTTTCTGGGGCCGTTCTTTTTAGTAGAGATCACTGATCTAAGAATGAACCGACATACTTTATAAAATCAAAATTGTCTTGGATCTGATTGCTGATATCCACCCTGTTCACTTAGTGAAGGCAGTCTAGTGTAGTGGTTAAGAACATCAGTTTTGGGTCAAACAAACCTGAGTTCAGGTCCTGGCTTCTCCACTTATTAACTTAAGCAAATAACAGAATATCTCTGAGCCTTGCTGCCTGCCCATCCCCTCCTCTAGTCCACATGAAGTTAGTGCCTGTATCTACTTCATGATTTTGTTAGGAAGATTTTATAAAACATTGTACTGCATGGAATTGACTTGAGCACCATGCCTGAAAGCAGAAATAAGTAACAGCTATAATAATTATAATCAATTAGTGCAATTAAATTAAATTTAACATCACATAAGAATTTAAGTATTTAAAATTCCATTTATGTCCTACTTTTAATAAAATTTCTCTTTTATTATTGGCAATTTGAATGAGCTAGGGTTGCTTATATTGAGTTATTTTTCTTTTCTTTTTTTAATTCACAGGAGCCAACAGTAAGAAACCCTCTATAAACCAAGCTGTTAATTCATTCATTTATGTATTGCAGCCACACTGTATAGTCCACCACTCCCACTGACCCCACTCACAGGGGCTTCCCTGATCGTAGGCAATAAATATTTCTCTTTCAAATAAAATGTTTTAAAATTTATTGATTTTTTGGAGAGAGAGAAGAGGAAGGAGAGAGAGAGAGAGAGAGAGAGAGAGAGACAGACAGACAGACAGACAGACAGACACAGGTTGTCATTTCACTTATTTATGCATTCATTGCTTGTTTCTTTTTTTATTTTTTATTTTATTGATTTTAGAAAGGGAGGAGGAGAGAGAGAGAGAGAGACCCATCTATGTGAGAGAAACATTGATCGACTGCCTCCCACACGCATCCCAACCGAGACTGAACCTAAAATCTGGACATGTGCCCTGACTAGGAATCAAACTGGCAACCTTTCCCTGCACAGGACAGTGCTCAACCAACTGAGCCACTCCAGCCAGGGCTAAATATTTCTTGAGCATTTATTTATTAGGCCAAAGCAGTGTACAGGTAAACACTGGCCATTCCTCCGGAACTCACATTTGATCAGGAGAGACAGACAATAAAACAACAAATAAATATATAAATTTCAGACAGTAATACGTGCTATAAAGAAACTAAAATAGTTAAACAATCTGAGTTAACATGAAAGGTTGCTACTCTGGGGCTGGAGCAGTCAGGGAAGCCCTCTCTGAGGAGGTGACATTTGGCCAAGGCCTGCAGGATGACTGGCTGGATCACTCGTTGCAAGACCTGGGGGAGGATTAAGTGAAACGACGTCTGTAAAGTGCTTGGTGCATTCACAGACATGTAATGTTAGAACGCGTCCCCCTTCTCTTCCTTGTGGTCGAGAGCGTGGAATTTGAGTTTGGTAAATAATGAGAGGTCGCTTGAAGTTTTTTAATAGTGGTGATAAAGTGGCATAATGAAAGCAACAATTTTGGAAGATGATTCCTAAAGCTGTGTGCTGAATATGTTGAAGTAGGGGAGCACCTGGAGACAGGACTGTGACTAAAGCAGGT